TTTCGGTACTCTCCCCATGATTGCAAGTTGAGACTCCATACCACTTCATTAGTCAGATCTCTTGGCTACACATCCAAGCTCAACCTACACACAAAATTGAATCTATTAATGGAGAATGGTTGATTTTACAATTTGGCTATTGTTGAGTTTAATCCAACACGATATAGTAAATATATGTATGAACACTCAGTTTTTACGTGGAAACCCGAAAGGGAGAAAACCACGGGACTTTTTAGGCTAATGTCCAAGCCCTCTCATTCTCATTAGTCTTTCCTCACCATTACATAGTACAAGTATTGAAGCTCCCATTAATGGAGTTCTAAGCTATTCTAGAGAGGAGGAAGAAAGAAGGGAAGAAGGAAAAAGGATCCCTAAACATGTGGGAAAGCCCCATATTTATAGGGGTTAGGGAAAGGGGGAAACCTAACCTAATGGGCCAAGTAAGCCCAAAATGGGCCCAAAGGGCCGAAACATGCCTAATAGGCTGAAATGGACCTTGTCATTCGGGCTCCAAGCTGGGGCGATGCCTTGGGCTCCTGAACAGTAACGGACCGGGATAATATACCTCAACACAAGTCCCCCAGTTTCTTGAGTAGTGAGCGTGCGAATCTGCTCGAGAAAGTATACTATTGCCTACGCTCTTCCTCTGCCTTCTTTGCACATGACCTCGGCTTTCGGAGCAAAGGCTTAATTCAATGCCTTGGCCTGGGTGCGAGGGATTGGGGTATTCGGCCCACGGATGCCCGACCCGACTTCCTTTGGACGTTCGACCCTTAGGAACTCGGCCTAGATGTGTCCTTTCTTTTGATGCACGACCCGGTAGCAGACCTCCGAGTCGTCATACAGTGACAATCCTCGGCCTATTCCTAGAGACGTTCGACCTCCAGATGCTAGGTTGGGCTTCCTTGGACGTTCGGCCCCCTTGACGGTCAGCCCGCTCGATCTCTCGTTGTTGGGGCTCTAGAATTTTCCTCTAGGATGCTCGGCCCGACATGCTTAGGAAGATTAGTCCCTAGAAACCCGACCCAACTTCCTTTAGACGTTCATCCCTAGAAACTCGGCCTAGATGTGTCTTTGCTCTTAATGCACGACCCGGTAGCAGACCTCGGAGTCGTCATACAGCGACAATCCTCGGCCTATTCCTAGAGACATTCGACCTCCAGTTGCTAGGTTGGGTCTCCTTGGGACATTTCTACCTCAACATGCTCAGCCTGGGCATGCTCGGTCTCAGGATGTGTTGCGCGCCTCAATGCTCTTGGCCTCCGGGGTGGGGATGCTCGTCCCCAGTCTTTGGCCTCTGGATGATGGATGTTCGTCCCCGGGCTTTGGCCTCCGGGTGATGGATGTTCGTCCCCGGGCGTTGGCCTCCGGGTGATGGATGTTCGTCCCCGGGCTTTGGCCTCCGGGTGATGGATGTTCGTCCCCGGGCCTAGGCCACTGGACGATAGATGATCGTCTTCGGGCCCTCGGCATCCGGGGTGAAAGATGCTCGTCCACGGCCCTTGGCTCTTGATGGTCTTCTTTAGATCCTCGGCCTCCGGGTGGAAAGATGATCGTCCCCGGGCCTAGGCCACTGGACGATAGATGATCGTCCTCGGGCCCTCGGCATCCGGGGTGAAAGATGCTCGTCCCCGGGCCTAGGGCACTAGACGATAGATGATCGTCTTCGGGCCCTCGGCATCCGGGGTGAAAGATGCTCGTCCACGGCCCTTGGCTCTTGATGGTCTTCTTTAGATCCTCGGCCTCCGGGTGGAAGATGCTCGTCCCCGGGCCTAGGCCACTGGACGATAGATGATCGTCCTCGGGCCCTCGGCATCCGGGGTGAAAGATGCTCGTCCCCGAGCCTAGGCCACTGGACGATAGATGATCGTCTTCGGGCCCTCGGCATCCGGGGTGAAAGATGCTCGTCCACGGTCCTTGGCTCTTGATGGTCTTCTTTAGATCCTCGGCCTCCGGGTGGAAGATGCTCGTCCCCGGGCCTAGGCCACTGGACGATAGATGATCGTCTTCGGGCCCTCGGCATCCGGGGTGAAAGATGCTCGTCCACGACCCTTGGCTCTTGATGGTTCTCTTTAGACCCTCGGCCTCCGGGTGGAGGATGCTCGTCCCCAAGCCCTTGGCACCAAGGTTCATTTTGAGCATCATCTCTTATCTGACTATGATCTTAATCTGCACAATGAACATAGTAACGCGGCCAAATGGCCAGACAATATGTATATGTGCACACCTTTTTTTTAATTTTGATTTGGGGCTCCTTCGGGTGTGACCGTCGGCCTCGGGGTGCAGTGACCCTCGGCTCGTCCCTTAATCATTAAAATGTCGGTGGAAGCTCATCCCCGAGCTTCGCTCAGCCTTATTTAATTTTGGGATTTTTTTAAACCCCTATTAAATAATGGTGATGAAAATAATAGTAATAATACTATTATTAGCAATTAAATTAATTGTACCAATTTGGGATATGAGACTTAGCTTTTAAAAAATGGGGACGTTCGGCCACTTAGGAATTTTTTTATGCCTGCTTTGATTCTTTTTTGCAATTCTTGACTTATCAGCAGCCTCCAACTACTCAGCCGCTCCTAAGTCCCAGCTCCTAAGCGTACGTACGTCCAATCCAAGCCAAGCCAAGCTTATTGGAATTCCCCTACTTTGACTTGGTCATAAATAATTCCCCACATCCTTGGAAGGGCCCAATTCAAATCATTCAGCCGACGAGCGTCTTGGACAGCCTCCTCGGCTTAGGCTTTGTGTGGAAATTCCTCAATTTTGACTTTGGTTCAAATTCTCCAAAAAAAGCAATTAGGCTTTTAATTAGCCTTTTAATATATGGAGTCTCCTTTAGAAGAGCAGGTCATGCGTGCAGCAAAGCAAGGGCGGCCAAGGAGGATAGTCTTCGTTGGAAAGATAGCCGGACTTTGTAGGATCGCGGCATACCCTCCCTGAGCTCCACACCACCATTAATGGCGGAAATTGAGCTCTCAGCCGCCAGATCCCCTAAGGCCACGCCGGCAAAGAGGCCGGTGGGGGCTTGAGCGGGGACTGACCAGGTTGAGAAGTGACTACCGGCTCGTCGCCGGCGACGAACGGCGGCGCTGCGTTGAAGTCGGAGAACCCAGCTTAGACCGATGAAAAAACGCTGCTCTGATGGAGCTCTCCTAAGACCGAGATGACGAGACCTGTGGTAGTGTAGCGGTCTCCTTTTGGTGCAGCTAAACGCACCGGAAGGCCCACCACGGCGGCAGGGTGATGGCGGCTCCGGCGACCCCAAACCCATATCTAAAGAATATCTAGACTTGTTTTCCCGGATTCCATCGTCTCCTTCTTCCTTGGTCCGTTGGGCAGGTCCTGCTGGCAGCCAACTTCCTGTCCCAGATCCGGCTTCCCAGGACCAAAGTTCCAGCATCTTTACTTCTCTTTTGTTTTTTTTTAGAAAATGAAGCTAAAATCAGTACCTTTCCCGTATGAATTTTTTTAGAACACATGAATCTTTTTGGACAGATTCCCACAGACGGCGCCAGTGTTGAGTTTAATCCAACACGATATAGTAAATATATGTATGAACACTGAGTTTTTACGTGGAAACCCGAAAGGGAGAAAACCACGAGACTTTTTAGGCTAATGTCCAAGCCCTCTCATTCTCATTAGTCTTTCCTCACCATTACATAGTACAAGTATTGAAGCTCCCATTAATGGAGTTCTAAGCTATTCTAGAGAGGAGGAAGAAAGAAGGGAAGAAGGAAAAAGGATCCCTAAACATGTGGGAAAGCCCCATATTTATAGGGGTTAAGGAAAGGGGGAAACCTAACCTAATGGGCCAAGTAAGCCCAAAATGGGCCCAAAGGGCCGAAACATGCCTAATAGGCTGAAATGGACCTTGTCATTCGGGCTCCAAGCTGGGGCGATGCCTTGGGCTCCTGAACAGTAACGGACCGGGATAATATACCTCAACAGCTATAAATACCGAGTACAAGCAGATGATCCACTCAAGCAGATGATACCAAGCTCCTACCAGCAAATCTTCACTCAAGCTTCCGGTATGTCATAAACATGGGTGGGAGTGTATGATTTGAGAAATGAACCCGAGTTAACAGTATGTATAGTATTTATGTTTTCACCACAGGTTGAAGTTCCTGAAGTGTTACCAAAAAGAATAACTCATAATGTGGTTTCTAGAACACAAAAATAGCTACCACAGGCTTTCTATTTGTGAAAAGCGGTTGGACAAAAAATGCTTTGGAAATGGTTTAGTGTCGACTTTAATATTGGATAGCTAACAAGCGAAAACCATTTGTTTTTAATATCAACAGTTTATGTCCAGATCATAGCTTCTTTTGTTGACCTGCGTAGTAGTTTTTACTTAGTGGCATGGCTAGATCTTTGTTATATTATTATGATGTTAATGGTTCAGAAGTATTTGTGTCTCTTGCTCATTGTTTGTACTTTCTAATACATTTTTGTTCTTGCATGATGTTTTGTGCTACACAACATCTGTAACATCTATTTTATTTCACATTCTGAAATCTACCTACATCTACAAAAAAGCTAACTTATAAGACTATTTTTTAGGTGGAGGATCAGCTCACAAGGGTAGTCATTCCTAATCTTACTAATTCAAGTGCATTTAGGGTCAAAGAGCCAAATTCAGGTATGCTCATTAACACAAAAAATATTAATAATAGGAAGTATATTATTCACATATAAAAAATGTGTGTGGCAGTAGGACTCATGCCAAATATGATGCCAAAATTCAACAACGAGCACGTTAGATGGAAATCCAATTCAGAATCTAACCTCATTCTCAACGTAGATGCAAGCTATACATCATCACAAAGCTCGGGGGGAGGGGGGGGGGGGGCTGTCAAACTCAAGCTCAGCCTCACATGCAAAAATACAAGCAACGCACACTTGAGTGTCATGATACTCTAAATAAGGATAAAGATCCTTCGAAACCCAAATGGACTCTCAAACAACAGTCAAAGCAGTGAAAAAACAGATCGACATACCTTCAACACTATAGCACGACATACGTAAACTCAAGGATCTCTGCAGGCACAACCATATTCACCTATTCCACACATATAGAGAAGCTAACCGGACGGCCCATCATCTGTCAAAACAAGGACTAAATCAAACCCGAGTCGAGGAATACAAGAACAACAACCTACCACCCACTGAGAAGAGAGCTTACCTCGACGATCTTCAAGGCAAAACCTGCTTCAGAGACACGGGCTAGAAGATGACTGATGTAGCAAATGAAGGGGGTGTTTGGAACTGATTCTGCTTCTGCTTCTTTCTTAAAAGCAGAAGCAGAATCAGAATCAGTTTTCAGAAGCTGGTACCCCACAGCTTCTAAAAAAACTGATTCTGAGAGTAAATTAGAGCTCCAGAAGTGCTTCTGGAATTTCACCCAAACACTCCAGCTTTTGCTTCTGCTCCCTGAAGGAGCAGAATCAGTTTTGAGAATCAGATCCAAACACCCCCGAATTCGATTTGCTTTCTCTCTCTCTCTCAAACGAAGATTTGCTCTCAAACGCTCGAAGAATCTGGAACGAAATGATAGGGTTGGCGCCATGCCTTGGACTTGTGCGGTTTCGAACCAGACCGACATTCCGTTTTGGACAAACCCTGTTTTTTAAAGAGGCCCATCTTTGGGCCCTATTTTTTGGTCTGCTTTTTCTTTATTTCAGCTTTCTTTTTCTCGCATTACTCTTTGTAAAAACACTTTCTCTTTTTGTTTTTTATAAATTCTATTTTCACAAAAAATGGAATACAAAATATAACAATATGGAAATAATATATATAACTATGCACTTACCAATCTGGAGATTTTAAGGGAAACCTTTTATCGAATTTCAATGTTTTCACATTTGAGAGGTTGTCTATTTTCTGACAATGAAGTAAGTTATTGGAGTCAAGGTTGTTAAAATCTTGATTTAAATTGTAAAATCGTACGATTTTACGATTCTGCATTAATAAAGCGATTCAAATTGCATGTAAACTCATAAAATCGTAAAAAATCGCACTAAAATCGTGTAGAATCGTATAAAATCGTAGAAAATCGTTATAAGTTGTTTTAGTGAAAATGGTTCAAATTTTGTATTGTTGTGAATAAATCTTTTGTGTCGATTATAGAGAGACCTAAGTCCACTACTAGACCTTTCAGCCATCCTGATTTTATATTTTATTAGCAAATGTTAGAGAGAGTTGTGTTTTGTTTTGGTCATGATTATAGATTATAGTTTCTACCTTGACTTGAACTCCACAAATTCATCATCACTTCCATTTAAAATGACCTTGGTGGTGTTGAACATGTTTGACACATGAACATGACCTAAATAACATCTTGTGTTAGATTATAGAGCATATACAGTAAGCAGAAGGGGTACAGATGTCAAGACAACCTTGGTATTTTTTTGCTCTGCATCACTGCAGCAGCATCACAATCGGATCCGATGTTGTCTGCTTGTATGTCATGAGCATCTCAACCATCGGTCCCCAAAGAGTACATGCAATCACATTCCCTCTACTCGAAGCATTTAGTTTATTTCAATTTAATGGCACACAAAAAAATAATTAAAGTGTTTATGAACAAATCAAAGACTTACTCTGGGTCTCCCAAAACCCTCTCCATCAATTTTCGGGGCCTATCATTCTTCAGAATCGTTTTCGGGTCTTTATCATGCACTACCTGACCCATTATGTCTAGACCAAAGAAGTACATTAGTGCGTCTTACACAGTCACATGATGTTTTATATATTACGGATTACCATAGATCATAATTTAGGAATTACCAATTCCATATTTCTCATCTATGGTGTCTTGAGCTTGCAATGAAGCAAAAGACACCAGTGAGTAAGTTCTTATGGGGAATGGAACCCCCTTGATCTCAAAGGTAGCACTCTTGTTAAAAAAACGAAGCCTATAGGCACTTGTTGAGGTTTTAAAGAACATGTAGTTCTCTTCCACCATGAAGTTTTTCACTGCAAACAAACGTCCCTCCTTGAAGATACCAATGAACTTGTTGACGAGCTGGTCCGGAATATGAGCATGCATCCTATACCCCTGAAATTTACCAAAATGACAACATTGATTTTACTAAAATGGCAAGGCAAAGGAACATTATACTTAATACAGAATTTTAGACGTCCAAACCTCTTCGTCATGAAACACAACCTCCAAGGATTCTGGGAAACTGTCATGCGCTGGTTCACGATACACCGTTATCGCCCTAGCCTTGACTGCCCAGGTTGTTTTAGTCTGATCAATCTCACGAAATAGGGACCACATTCCAACCATCTTTAAGAATGAATGCCTGTAAGTATTTTTTATCTTGTTTGCCAAGAGATGTGGAGACTGAAACAATATTGATGCTGTATTTATAGCTGGAGGTCCCAGTCTTTCAGCCAACTAAAATAACATTCACAACATACTCAACCTAAGTTTTTTGCAAATGGAATGGGGGGAACACTGTACATCTTAATTTGAATTTCAAAATGGTTTCTTTAGTGCCCGCCCAGAGCCTCCCCTTCTGACAATAAAGACACTGTTTGTAACCAAAAAGCAGCCAATGAAAATGTAAATAGGTGCGTGAGAAATCCAGGGGAAATCCAATACAGATTTCTGCCAGCTCATTATCCCAAACTGACCAATGAAAAACATTTTTGAGCTATTAGAAAATCTGTAAGAAATCAAAACAGTGACTCAACTGCCTAAAACCACACATCTTGTGCAAAAGTGATTGCACAGTACACTTCGCCAGCTCATACTCCACTATTAGACCAATCAAAATTCATCTAGGTTTTTAGAAAATCTGAATCAAATCCAACCAAAAGCCAGAAAAACTAATCCGGCTAACTATGCGCAAACCTTCATTAATAAACCTAACCAACGGCTCACGTAATGAGTATTTAACCACAAACAATGACAATGACATTTTTGAGCGGGAATTGCTGGCCCTCTTTTATTTTACTTTTAGATTATAATAGATAGATTGCTTATACCTATCAAAAATGCACTAAGACTGAGAAGGTTAAAAATGTGAGACAACACTTACCAAAATTGTAATGTTGCAAAATTAAAATAAAAATCTTAAAAAGGAACATACTTCGAATAAACAAGGGGAAGTTCAAGTAAAAACAAGAAAAAACTATATACGAGTATGTAAAATTTCAAAATAAGAGAGTACTTCATTTTTCAAACAAAGTAGCTAGGAGATAATTACTCTTATTTATTAATGAATACAAATGTAATGCTCCTGATTTAAAATTCCTAAACGTTTTTATCATATAAATAGGGCAATTTCTTAATAAAAATACGGAGCCACTATCTAATTTGATGTGGTTTATATAATACTCAAAGCACAAAGTAAAATGTGAAAATTACTAAATTAGAGGTAAAAGTAATGCTAAATCTCAAAATTTGAGTACTACTAACTACTACGTATGTTTTTCCCTAAATCAGAATAAGTTGATGTCATTTTAAAATTTTATTATCATATTTTTTGCGAAGAAAATTTTACTATCATATTTGGATATTGTCGACTTATTTTTAAATATGATGATATATAGTCACAATACTTGGCAATATATTACATGTATGACAATAATTATTCGTACTTAGTGAATAAAAGTGTAATTTTTCTACAATGAAATATACTTGGTATAAACGTTTTTACTTTAATTTAGTCAATTTCTTAATGAAAAGGTCAATAAGAAGCCTAAAAAAATAGAATATTAGTGGTATGTCAAAGTTATTATGTATAATTTTATATGAAATAGTAATAGCAACTCTACCTATCCCGAAATTCAGTGCACCATTTGTCTTTCCCATTCAGAACAATTATGCTATTATCAAAAAATGTTGTGGCATGTGTTTCACCTTGAAATGGTGAAGAAATTAAAATGTTATTGTTAAGAAATATTAAACGTTAATAGAATAAAATACGTAGGGGTGATGTAGAAACTTTACTGTTGAAAACATCTGAAAGGCCATATCTCATAGCAAACACAACAGGACTCGGAGGAGAGGTCAACAGTTGAGTTTCGACCTCAATAGCTTGATCTCCCCACAAAATACATGGAAATATTGTACCTCTGTATGTCATAAGTCATAATTTATGAATGTAGATTTTAGGTAAATTGAAGGTTTTTGGTTAATATTGCAATTGAATTAAATAAGAACTCTTACTCTGTATCTTGGAGTTCTAGATGCAACCTTTTACGTTCTTTGCCAGTTCTCTTGATTATAACGAACTCAGATGAAGAGTCCGTTATGTGACCAATCAGATCAATCAAGTATTCACGGCGGAATGCAGGACTCAAAATACTCTTGAAGTCAGTGAACTTATAGAATGTGGAGGGAATATTCAAATCGTCTAACTCACTTACTTTAGTGGAATAAGTGAAGTTTAAACGATATTTATGGTTCGAGGCCAAATACTTGCCACGATTGACACTGACATAAAATACTGAAATTTTGTAGCACTTATCTTCGGTTAAGATATGGTCATACTGATCGATGAAATTCTTGCTCAATGTGCATTGGATAGAATCACCCTGGAAAATAGTGAAAAAATGTAAATTTAAGTTTGAAGAGAAATTAAATATTTAAAAAACCATGACAATTGACTTACACATTCATCCAAAAACAGCAGCTCTAAAGTTTTTTTAATGGTTGAGTCCTTTTCAAACACTGCCCATTTCCGCATGATTCTAACTTGTAGTTCCCAACCTTGACGTCCCATAGATACATGCCTTATGTAATCACATGTACCTATATTGCAGTATATATATCATAAAAAAGAAACATAGTTAGTGTCTTGTGTATATTGTTTTTGTGATTTAAATTCATTGTTTAATCACTAAATGAAGTAATTTTTCTTTTCATCAATTCATCATCGTGCATTTGTGGTTATTTGATAGTAATCTTCTCATTGATTATTCATACTTTTCATTAAGTACTAATAAGTTTGTTGGCAATTTCTATTTTATTTGTAGATAAAAGCAAGCACTTAAAGATGGATTCAAGCATATTAATAATTTAGGACAACCATCTAACTAGTGCAGGAGATCATTATTCCTTGAGACAGATATGTGATATGTTCTATACAATCGGCATGTATCATTGTTGGTCCCAGTAAATGCAGACTAACACACAGCTAGATGGATATCATCGAATAACAGAGAAGAACGATCTCACAGAATGATTTATGAAGTATCGAGAACTTTGGAGATCGTGTTTCTATTATATCGAGAAGAATTTTAGCAGCGTAAGGCTAATGTGTATTGATCGATTATCGGTACCTGTACACAAGGCGCATATTTATAGGCGCTGTACAGGTTACCGATTTAGGTAAACCTTGGAAGTTGGGCCAAGGCCTTTTTGGGCCTTATTCCCTTTACCTTATTTGCTACATAATAAATACTAATCCAATACCATAAATAGTATAACTAGTCTACTTTATTTAAACAAGACCTTACAGACAAACTTGACCCACAATAAAAGTTCTAACAATCTCCCCCTTTGTGGTCAAGTGCCGTCTTGCTGGGTTTCTTCACTT